AGTCAAGAGATGGAAGAAGTCTATATATAATTACTGAGGTAGTGACATGTATTTAAAAAAAAATCCCACTTACCATTGGTTCTTTATGGCTCTTACCATTGTCATTCCCTTCTTTTTATCATTTTCATTTCCTCTATTGCTACCTACATCTTTAAGGTTAGGAAACTCAAATACCTACTTGAGGGAGAAACTTCCAGATTTTCCTCTCAAACAGGAGCCAAGCTTCTCACGAGGAGGAGAGTTTAGCGTTCCTGTTTTAAGCTGTGTTAATTGATGGCTACAGCTGGCATAGTGTGAGATAGAAGACTACATACAGTCTGTTCCAGGCTCAAAAATATATATGGATAAACACAAATCCTCTCGAAGGTCCAAAACAGGGATGAAGGGGGAGACTATAGGAAGAGAATGAATATTTAGGCTTTATTTTATACTAACAGCTTGTTTGTTTTTCGGCATCCATTTAAAAATTTTTTGTTGTTGTTGTTCTCAGAAGGCCCCGTTCAAGTGACTACACTAACAATGTCACACACAGCATATTGTGTGCAGTGTACTCCTTAGGTAGGTGTCAGAGCTCAGGTTTGTTTTTGCCCTTGTTCTTGAACAAAAGCTTCTTGTTTGCTAGCCTCCCAAATGTTCTTAGGTATTGTGTAGAAATACATTAATGTTTAAACAAAATAAATTATATGTCTTTTGAAAACAAAAAGAAAAGCCATACACATAAACACGCATATATACAACGAAATTGACATTACCCTGTTCCTTCCTCCATGTGCCTCAGAGTGCTAGCCAACACCTGTGGCCACACAAGGGGCAGACGTGGCAGCTGCAGAACCCAGATGTCAGACACTGGATTGTCCATCCCTGGTAGCAGTCCTCAGATGGAGCCTGTCTCCTTAGCTGACCTCTGAAATGGTCTATTGTCCGACAACTTTTCTGGCCTGGGTAGTAACTAACAAAGTCTGTTGGGGCTAGTTCAGAGTTAGCCAACCAATGGCTTGTTCTGGAGGCAATTATCTTTTGCTTTACCTTTCATTATAAGTAAGGGTGAAAACTGGAACTGAGTTAACTCTTGACAAAGAACTATATTCAGATTTCTTCCAAGGACAAATTAAGATGCTTTTTGCTTTGACCAATTTTTTTGTTTCCCATTTGAAACTGGATGAGATCAATTTTCTATTTTAGCACCAGGTGAGTTTTCATTAATAAGAAGCAAAACTAAGAGGAAAATAATGCTTAATTTACCAAGCCTCTGCAAATTGTACCTTTTGTTTCTTTTGGGTGTTCTCCAGGTTTCTCAGCTTGTGTTTTCCTCTGCCTATAATAACCCACATACGTCCTTGAGATGAGTGAGGGATGATTCTAGATAAGGCAATATCCAGAATCAGGAACAGAATTGGAACATTCTTGGGCATCTATCCCCTCTGAAAGAAGACCGAGTTTCCTTTTACTGCTTCTTAAAACTACTTCTTAAAAGTTGAAGATGAAATCCATGTTTCTTTAGAAAACTAAGGAGCCATACATTATTTTTACTATTATTAAAGAAAAATAACATTTATTTTTAAAGAGTTGTGGCATGAGATTTCTTGGTTTCTTAAGGAAAAAAAATGATTAGGGCATAATCTCATTTCTACATCACTTGCTGAACTGTCATTACATGTGGTGTAAGATGCACCATCTTAGGAAAGAGATAGGTAAAAGGGCTCCATTTATGACATAACATTTGCAGCCCTTTAGAGAAGATCTACTATACAGTCATAAGTCAAGATACAATCTGAGAAATGAGTCATCGGCTGATTTTGTTGTTGTGTGAACATCATAGTGTACTGACAGAAACCTAGATGGTATAGCCTATTACACACCTAGGCTATATGATAAAAGCCTATTGCTCAGAGACTAGAAACCAGGACAGCATGTTCCTCTACTGAATACTAATGGCAAAGGTAACACAATGGTAAACAGTTGTTTAGACATATCTAAACAAACAAAAGGTACAGAAAAAATACTAGGCGATAGGAATGTTTCAGCTCCATCATACTCTGAGTCCACCCTCATATATGCAGTCCATTATCGACTGAAATGTTGTTATGTAGCTTATGACTGTGCATATAGTTACAGACAAGTTGACAAGAAATATACCTGATATTTAAAGGAAGATGAATTCTGAGGAAAACTACAAAATATAGCTAACATCAGATGGTGTGCCATGTAAAATGTTTCAAATTTCCTTTATTAACTTTTATAAAAATGTATGTATATCTCTTGGTCATGACAAGACTTAGATTTGGAAAAAAAGACATAATATGCATTAAGTTCATACTAATGCAGATAAGCAACTGATAAACAAATAACTTGGGGAAACTAGAAAAATCTTCCATGCAGAATAATTCCAAGTACTTTATATGATACACACCCCTCAAGGAGCTGGAGTTTATATTTCTGTATTCTTTGAGTATGGGCTGTGCTTTGTGATTTAATTCCRAAGAGTAGAGTATAAAAGGACTTGTGGATGGGAACAACTTCACAGTGATCGTGGGAAAACACTACCTCAGCCAAGTGGTCAAAGTTAACATCATCAGTAAGCCATCATGTTTATAGTATGCACTCTTGATATGGCGTGATCTCACCAAACTACACTTCACCTTTATGATATTCCTCCAAAACCTCACAATCCTAGTTTAAACATATGAAAATATCAGAAAAACTCAACCAGAGGGACAGTCTACTGAATACTTGACCAGTTTTCCTCAAAACTGTCAAGGTCATCAACAATAAGAGAAGCCTGAGAGAAAATGTTAAAACCAAGAGGAGCCTTAGGAGATAGGATGACTAAATGTAATGCGTTATACTGGATAGGATGCTAGGAGGGACAAAGGATAGAGGTGGGGGGGCACTATGAAATCTGAATAGAGTGTAGAGTTTGGCATACAAATATTAGTTCCTTAGTTGTGTCAAAAAGAGGAGAAACACTATCTTTGTAATTTTTCTGTAAATCTGAAATTATTCTCAAATGTTTATTTAAAAATTTAGAGAGACGATTAATATCTTGCTATATTGATTGTAACAGAGCTCCTGTTAATCAATACATGTCTGTCTCTCTCACACACATACCTATCCAGCAAACCATATGGCATTAAGAGTCATTTTCCTGAAACATAAGAATATTTCATCTTTAAAGCCAATGTAGTGAGACCTATTTTGAAAGACTTAGATTTCCCAATAATTGGGTCATGCCCTCAGTAATATRCCACAAATGCTCAGAAGATATATTCACAAACCTGTTATTTCTTGTTGGCTTTCAAAAATGTTATGTCTTTTATTCACCTATCGAATACACATAATTTTGTATAAGCAATAATTAATGACATCATTAATAAAGGAATGCATTAATCTCTGAAAGTAACATATTCTGTGCTAGATTACTAAGGGCAGTATTTACTTACTGATAAATTGCTATCATGGGATATAAGGGGGTAAAATCTGATGTGCGACCATTTCAGACCCTGGATGGCATTTATTCACTGACTATTCCCCATCTGTCCTTTAGAATGATAAGAAATGAAGATTCTGGGAAACACTGAAAAACACTCTTTTCATCCTATTTCCAATTTATCATTTTAATTGATGGAGGATAAAGTGTTGGTGTCAATGAATGTTTACTTTTAAAAACTTGTGGGTCTCTAGAATTATTCTTATGTTGACATTTTACTGATACAATTTTTAAAGTTGAGATAGTAAAAAATTAAGTAACTAAATAATAAACTATCTAGACTAGCTTCTCTAATTCTATTTTTAGGACAGACAGCAAATGCCAATAAAGAAAGCAGGAAAAAAATACTTGCACCTTCCTGAATACATATTAGGGTTAAAAATAAAACTCAGTAAAATCACTTACATATTTTATAACTATAGTAATTTACAATAATCACTTATGTTAAGGAAAAGGGCCAGGATCCTTGACAATAAGGAAAAAAAAAGTGTTCAATACAGAATTTGTAGCCAAGGCAAAAGAGTCAACTAACATATTTTAGGGCTAGTTTTTCATAATAAAATACTGTGGTAGGAGAATCTACAATTCAGATAGGTGGCTACTTTTTTTTATATGAGTCATTAAACAGTTTAGTTACTATATATTTTGCATTGCATTGAACTACTGTGTGTGTGTGTTTAGAAATCAGAATTAAAAAGTCCCTTTCACAGAACATCAACAATGTGTCAGGTGTTTAGCTACCAGGCATTTGACATACACCATTTATTATCCAATGCAACCCTGCAAGTCAGGGACAGGGCCTATTTACTGAGCAAGGGAACTGGGGACCCCAGAAATTAGGGCACAGGTTCAAAGCCTTCAGCTTGTGAATGAGGGAGTCATTACAAATGCTGGCTGCCTTGAATGCTTGAATTCTTTCCTACATATCATACAGCTTGCTTAGAATTTAAACTATGATTAACACTATTCAAGTAAATATTTATTTTTCACTAACTATGTATTTTAAGTAATTTAACCTTTTCTAGGATTCAATTTTCTCTTGGGAAAAATGGAGTTGGTTGTTGATTTCTAATGCTTCTATTTTAAAATAGTAACAATGATTTATATATAGGAAAAATAATTTAAATGGCTATTTTCACATCACTTTTATTAAAATTAGGTCATTAACACTCATCCTTACTAAATTTTGTGATAGGGATCTATCTAGATATGTGCATGTCATTTCTTTCAAATCCCTTCAGTCCTATTAAGCCAAAACATTTGCTCTTACCATTTTCAATGTTATTCCTTGAAATTTATATATAAGAAGAAATTGCATACTATTCTCTGCACTACACAAGCTATATACTTAAGTCTTTACCTCCCACAGAGTCTGAAACTTGCACTCAGATATGAATAATGCAAAGAAAGCCATTTCTATGGATCTGAAAATAATCAAAATATTCATTTATTTTAATTCACATTTATTTAAATATAACAATTCCGTAGACAAGTGAAAGTAATTAAAAGCATACATGGTAGATATAAAGTGAAATGTATAATTATTTTAGATAAGAGTTAACACATATATTAGACTAATTGACTGCATGATTACATTTAGTTTTAAGAGTACATTAACATGGAGATTTAAAAAGGATATGCCTTTAAAAAAAAGTGCTACAAAATGTTCACATTTATGTCAGTAATAAATTATATCTCTTAGACTGATGTTTTATAAAACTATGTAAATATCTAATTTAATCATTAACTTCACATGGTAACATTTGCAAATGAAGCACATTTTTGTTAATAGAAATGTTCTTTAAATAATATAGCATTTTATCAAGACCATGCCACATTTATTAAACAAACATGCATAACACATTAAAATCTGAATAATTCATGTACCTTTAGTTTTGCTACAGCACTCCATCTTTGTGAAAAAATATATTTAATGGTTTGGTACAGAATTAATAAATCATATTGCTACTAATAAAAATAAATGTGACCTAAATTTTCCATGGCATAGAAGATTCACTACCAAATTAGCCTCTTCCCTTTATGTTTTATCGACAAATGGCAGTTCTCTTCAGTTTTAGTTGGAATAAATGACAGATATCCAAGAAATGAAATTCATACCTAGGTGTAAGAACTGAGTTCAGTATTTATAATAGTAAAATATTTCCATCTGTATCATGGCCAACAAATTTCTAAATAAGCGAGTTATCAGCAATATTAAATACTATCATGAGATGTTCTTCAGGAGGCAGAGATGTTGAAAAGGAAATGTGGATCCCTTCATACACTGGGAACATATGTGTAAGGAGAGCAAATGCCAACTGAGGCAGAAGCAGGAAAAGTTCTTTGGAAAGTTGACTGGATAGCACACATGGGAGTGCAGAAAAGGCTGAGAACAAATAAATCATTTGGGGTAGAAAGGACTGTTGCAGGTCTAAGAAAGCTGAAGTGTACCACTCAAGGTAGAACATTTTCTTGATTCAGCAAATGATCATTTTTACATTCCCACATCAGTTTGTCTAAACCAAGAATGAAGAAATTAACAACAAGCTTTTTTCCCCTCCCAGAATTCATTCATAAACACTGTGGAAGAAGAATCTAATAATATGAACTCAAGCTTCCTCTGAACCAAAGATACTTCACACTCTCTCTTCAACTCAGAGTTGTGGTAACCAAGAAAAATGCCCGAGTTCTTTTTCACAGTGTTGTATTTTGAGACGCCAACTGAAGCAATCTTTTATAAAATGGATAGCTTCAGTTTTGTATTTATGACATGGGGGAAGGTAAGTAGAACTGGAATTCAATTTTTATACAAATGTACATTATTCTAATATATAAAACAATGAACATGATGCTATTTTATTTGGTTTATGATCCTTGCTTTTCTGAAGGCCTTCAAAGAGTGCAATGGCAAAAAACATAAAACAGATTAAATACACAAAAAAATTTTAAAGCTGTTAAGATGTAAACGAAGATTATGAATCACATAGCACTGAATTTTCAAGAGTAAAATCATACCAAAATCGTGATAAGTTTTCGTTGACATCATACGAGAGTAAGTGGTCAGGAAGGTCGCTGATGGTGCCCTGCACTGCCAGCACATGCGGGGCCAAGGTGAAGGGTACGTCGCTCAGGAGCTCCGCCATTAGTGAGCTGCTCTCCAGAGTTTGGCCTGCCTTATTTTCCGTCTCAGGGCCTGCCACAGTCACACTGGATGAGTTTTCTTTGCCAGTCTAAAAATACATATATATATTTAAAACATTTAGACCGTATGAACTGTGAGGTTTAGTAATGGTAAATGTGGCATCAACACATCAAAATGATTGAGAAATGTGTAATATATAAATACTTCCAGATTTGAATGCAATTATTTACTTTACTTGAATCCAAGTCTGTGCTAGGTTTTAAAATGAATCTTAAACTCTACTCTCAGAATGACCATCTATAGTCCCTTAAATACTATCTGGCATTCTTGCTGTTTCCCTAACCCAGATAATGCCTACAAAATTCTTCTCTGCTTTTCCAACTCCTATGGATGCTTTCAGGCTCTGCTGCATGCCCAGCTTCCCTGAAAATTCTTATAATACCAGAGTCCAAAGTAATCTTGCTCACTTCAGAATGCTTATGGGACAAACTGCTAACAATATTATTTGGTGTTTCCTAGAGGTATTCTTTAAAAAAAAAAAATACACACACACACACTTTTTTTTAGTTGTAGGTGGACACAATACCTTTATTTTAATTTTTTAATGTGGTGCTGAGATCGAACCCAGTGCCTCATGCATGTGGGTAAGTGCTCTACCACTGAGCCACAACCCCAGCCCTCCTAGAGGTATTCTTGTTAATTGTGGTTCCATAGGCACAGAGCTTATCTCCAACTAGTCTCTACAGTTCTTAAGTGCGAGCAATCTAATTGGTATGTCTTGTATTACCACCTTGCCTACTTTACTGATTTATCCTAATATATTTTATTATATTAATAAATATTAATTAATGTTAATTACCTTTAATGTGTGTCGGGAACATGGATTGTCTGATTTCCACTGGAATTAGCATGTTATGTTGCAATTGTCATCAAATAAGAATTGACACATCTTTTGCAAACACTTTTTTACTAAAAGACATGCACTAGGATGTTCACGGCAGCTCACATCACAAACCCCCAAACTGGAAACTACCTAAATATCCCTCAATAGCAGAACAGAGAGCAAAAACTAAAGTCTATTTCCAAAAATTAAAATGAATGACCTGCCACTATAAGCAACTGAAATCTAACTCAAACTAGCTCAGGCAAAAATAAAAATAAGGGGCTGTGGCTGTGGCTCAGTGGTAGCACACTTGCCTGGTATGTGTGAGGCACTGAGTTCGATTCTTAGCACCACATATAAATAAATAAATTAAAAAAATAAAGGTGTATCAACAATTTAAAAAAATAATAAAAAGACTCCCTCCCACTTGCACACCTTCATTTCACACAGAATGAATTTGTCTTTGCAGAGGCCTACAAAGCCTTCTGAATCTGGCCCCGGGTATTTCTCTGACCTTACTCCAACCAGCCTGCTCCTACCTCAGGTCCTTTACTTCCCATTCCCTCTGACCAGGTGGTTGTTCTCCCAGAAATATGGGATTCCTTCCCTTACCTCCTTCCAAGTTTTGTCCAGGATGCCACTTCCTCAGAGAGGCTTTTCCTGACCACAATATTTAACCCTGTAGGCTATCACTTCACCTTCTCAACTCTGTACTGTCTCTCCCTCCTGCTTTCTGCTTCCCCATATCCCTTCGTACCTTGCTGTACACTACATAACTCATTCTGATTATTATTTCTCAGAAGGAGCTTTTACCTCTCATGTTCACTAATTTATCCCAAATACTTAGTGCCTAGGCCTTACTAAATATTTGTCTGGTGAATAAAAACAGACAAAACTCTTGCCTTTATAGAGCTTATATTCTAATGGCTATAAATTCTGATAAATTCTTTAAGTCTAAAGGTGAACAATTTTCTGTAAGAGACATTTTTGTAAAGCTTTTTATGGAAGTCTAAAATACATATGGAAAAGGGCACATTATAAGAGCACAGCTTGCTAAATTTTCACAAACTGAACACACATGAGCAGCCAGCACTAGGATCTAGAAAAAACAAAGATGGTTCTTTTCCCATCACAATCACCTCCCTGCCCTCTAGTCACCATCCTTACTTATAACAGCAAAGACTGGTTGACCTGTGTTTGAATTTTAAATAAATGTAATTATACAGTATGAATTCTTTTGTTTTGGGCTGCTTTCAGTATTATATGTAAGAGATTCATCCATATTATTGTAAGTTGGGTAAAAAAAACGTGAAGAACATATTGTTGCAGAGGACATATATTCTGACTGATATCTTAAAAGAATCACTCTGATTGTAGCACTGACAGTAGACAGTGGGGATGGGATTGGGTAGCCAGTAAAGGAAGCTGAAACATAGCTGAGAACAGAGATGATTGTGAGATTCAAGAAGGTTGTAATAGCAAAGGTGAGATGAAATGGTTGAATTGTGAATAGACTTTGAGAGTAAAACCAACAGTATTTGTAAGTGGAATGGATGGTGGGGCATAGAAACAAGAGTGCAGTCAAGCTGCACCTCGTGGCACACACCCATAATCCCAGTGACTCTGAAGCTGAGGCAGGAGGATTGCAAGTTTGAGGCCAACCTCAGCAACTTAGTGATGTTCTAAGCTACTTAGTGAGATCCTGTCTCAAAATTTAAAAAAATAAAATAAAAAAGGGATGGGAATGTGGCTCAATGGTTGAACACCCCTGGGTTCAATCCCTAGTACAAAAAAAAAAAAAAAAAAAGTACGGGCAAGAATGAGTCCAAAGTTCTTGGCCTAAGACATAAGAGAGATGCAGTCACTATTTACAGGGATAAGAAACAGTACCCAAGGAGCAGGCTCAGGCAGGAGACCTAGGTTCTATTCTGAAGGTCTGAGGTACCTAACTGACATCAAATGGAGCTGTTGGTATGCATAAGGATATGATTTGAATCTGGAGCTGGATGAGATCTGGAGATAAACATGAACACAGACAATTTTTCAAGGCATTGGAACGGTAAATGAGAAAAGAAATATGGGTTGGTATTTAAAGGGGTGTGGTGGAAGCAAAAGATTTCTTTTTTTTTCCTAAGTTGGGAGACATCATGACATCTTGTAAGCTAATGAGAAGAAGCTATTAAGAAAAATACATGAAGAATCTGTAGAGAAGGGTAGGGCTGGGGATGTAGTTTAGTGGTAGAGTGCTTGCCTACCTAGTATGTGTAAGTGCATGGATTCAATACTCAGCACTAAAAAAAAATAGAATAAATCTGTAGAGAAGGAACTGTTCTCTTCACAAAGCATCCCGAACACCTACAACAGGCCCCTCAAATATCTCAAATATCATTTAGTGAGTGACCTTAAATGAAACAAGTTATTCAACACATGCCTATTAAGAGTAGTCATCTTATAATTTCACAAGAAAATAACACCAGTGTACTTTCTTAGGGTTACAACTAAAACAAATGTAAACATACCTTATTATGACAAAGTTTATTATTAAAGATCCACGTACAGATCTGTCTCCTGAAACTAAGACTTACAATGTTAAGCATCCTGGGGTCAGCCAAGAGCACAGGTATCAGTGAGGAATGATGAGCATTCAGACTATTTAAAGGGCTTCACTATGTGGTTTGTATAGAAAAACTGAAAAGGAAGCAACATTGGGTATGCCAAAAATAACACAAGATTATGTATGCATCAGAGGTTTGGTTACTTGGAAGTAGCACAGCAAAATGGATTAAGAGTACAAATTCTAGAGCCCGACTGCTAAGGTACAAATCCAAGATCTCCTGTTTAGTGATAAACAAATTGCCTTAAGCTATTAACTTCTCTGTGTCTCAGTTTCTTTAGCTGTATTATAAGATCAGTAATAGTATGTATTTCACATGATTGTTCTGGGAATTAAATAAAGCAATGTTTTTAAGTAAGCAGAATAGTGCTTAGCACTGGTAAAGAAAGTGAATTAATAAAAACTTTAGGAATGTCAGATCCCATTTGGCTTTAGACAAAGTCTAGAATCCATTTATCCCTTTAGTGTTTGACATTTACTGATGGTTCAAGTAATCTTCCTTTTTCCCTACCGCATCCCCCATTTTTTTTACCTACTGTTGATCTCAAGAGCAAATCTTACATAGATCTATTAGTTTCATTCCGTCCTCAAATTTTCTTTCTCTCTCTCTTTTTGGGTTGTGTACATAATGTTATTCAATTTCATTAGCCAAATCACACCCTGATCTCACCTTTACAACTAAGGAGAAGTTATGTTACCTGTAGCCCTGCTTTCTAAACATACAACTTCAAAGCATAACTCTTCAGCAGCAATATTTATTCCCTTTGTCCATGCTTTTATTAATAATCTTTCCAAACCATTCTTATGGGTCAGAGCATTATTCCTTGAAGACAATCTATAGCAAACCAATCTAGTATAATAAAGAATTTGATACATGTGGCTGGTTTCTTGGTCAAGTTCTACTTATAAAACTACATCTGACCAGAAGGTGGATGCTTCACACATCAGAGCCTTGGCCCTCTATTCTGTAAAATGAGTAGTGAGGGACCAAAGGTGGTGATGGTGGTAGTGATAATGATGATGATGATTGCCATTATGATGAAGATGGCAACTAGCATATGTACTGAACACTTACTTTGTGCCAGGTTTTATCTTAACTTTATAAATATATCCACTCACAGAAGTCTTCTAATAGACCTGTGGTCTTCTAACAGTCTGTGGAATGTGCCTCATGTTTAAGACAAGAGGACACTGAGGAACAGAAAGGGTAAGTGAAAGTTGTCCCAGTTTATATATGTAGTTGGTAACGATACTGAGAATCAAATCCAAGTGATCCTTAATGGTCTATTAGCAAGAACCAGTACATTTTCGGGACATTGTGGGTAGACTGACCAAGTGAACAAAGCCTTGAAAATTCAGGGGACAGTATTAGAAAATATGAAAAATACTATTGAAGCATATCCTGGCTTAATTTAGAAGGACAAAAAAAAAAAAAAGACTGCCTTTGGGAAGAAAAATCTAATCAAATGTCTTACAGACAGACTGAAAAGGGATTGAAAAGCAACTGTAATTTAAGATAAGTTTATCCTTGAAAATGAATCTACCAGCAGTCTGGGTAGAGCCATGGGAAAAATACCATGGACAGTGAAAC